TTTTTTTTTTTTTAACCTTAATATTCTTATGGAACTGGTGGTGGGGCACATTCACCCTCCCAAGGAATTGACCAGCTCCTTGGAAAAATGCACTTAGGCATGCAATCCTGCATCTCCTTTCAGGAGCCGCCCGACACTGGAACCTGCCTCAGGACTTCGAGTTGAAAGTCCCTGCTTCTTGCCCGCACCATGGGGAGAGAGGCTAGTGAGGGAGTGTTTGGCAGCAGAGGCTGCAGTTTGGTTAGGGGTCGGGCATTCCTGAACATGCTGGGTTTGCCTGGCAGCGGCAGGTTGGACGGGAAGTACGCCAAGTTCCCCGTGTTGTACTTGTAATTAGGCAGTTCAAACCAAGAGTGGAGATTATGCATGGCCTGGCTTGTCATGGATGGAGCCCTTATGAAACAATACCTTTTAAAAATAAGTATTGTCATTTTTGAGCAATTTCCTACTGATCTTGAGTTCATCTTTAATTCTTTCAAGACTGTTATTTTTTGCTTTGCTTTTTTGTTGTTGTTGAAGCCACGTGTTTTCAGTAATCGAAGGTATTTTGAATAGAAAAAATTCTTCTTTGAGACAATAGGGATTTTTAGATAATGAGTGAAACATATCCCGAGGGGCTTCTGGAGCTGGGGCTGGTGGGATGAGGACCTTTTCATTAGGTTTACGCAGTTGACAGGCCTCCACCAGATGGCAGCACACACTAAACATGGGACAACCGCTTCCCACTAAACCCCAGAGGTAGCAAATGCAAGTGGTCTATAGATCCCCTATGGCTTAGGAAGGGTTCACACATTCCCTGGACACCATCACTGTGCAAGTTAACGATTTCCTTTTTATTATTCTTACGTTCTTCCACAGCTCAGGCTTCATCTGATGGCTCAAGATGATAGGGGTCCAACGGGCTGCAGAACTGGGTGGGAGGCATTGTGATGGTGGCTGGGGATAAGGCTGGGTGCTGACTGGGAGGGAAAAAACCTGGCTTCCAATGTCACAAGCCATGTGCAATATAATGTATGAGGCAGATGAGATCTGGCCTCTGATGTCATATACGTATTTCATAAGGAAAAAGCCAAACTGGCTGCCATGGGGTTGATTCCCACCCTGAACAATGGTAGGAGGAGAGTGCCTGCTGGGACTCCTGGGCGGTCATCCTGGCAGAAGCCCACTGTCATCTCTCCTGCAGGGCGGCTGGCGGGGTGGTTTGAACCACCTTCCTTCTGGTTCTCGGCAGGGCGCTTTAACCACCACCCCACTGGCACTCCTAGAGAGGGGCTCACGAGGGAGTAAAGGCTTAGACGGTGGGCTTTGTCGCTGACAAGCATCTAGATTAGTAGTTTCTAAGTAGCCCTGGCGGCACCATGGGCTAAGCATTGGGCTGCCAACTGCAAGGTGGGTGGTTGAAGCCCACTTCCAGGAGAAAGAGGAGACGAGGCTGGCTGCTCCCCCGAGGATCGGCAGTCTCAGCACCCCTTGCCCCACGGGCCGCTGTGAGTCTGAACAGACTTGAGGGCAGGGCAGTAGGTTGGTTTGGCAGGTGTAGTTCCAGACCCACCTTTCTCTTCAAGCAGCTGCCCATTTCTGAGGGTGCATTTACAGAGACATGGGTGACCCAGCGGAAGAGGCCATTTTGTTTGTCTGACAAGTTCCTGTTCGTCGGCTGTGGGTTTTGTTTTGTTTTTGGTCTGATTATACTCACTGTAAACGGTTTTCAAAGGATGTTGTGAATGACAAGCATTTTTACCATAGCGCTTTTGCCTTTTGCCTTTTTAATGACACCATTGACCTATCGCTAGTTTAAGATAACTCACTGCCATCGATTTTTATCTCAAAGCAACTCTGTAAGGACAGAATAGAGCTGCCTCTGCAGGTTTCCGAGACTAACTCTTTATGAGAGTAGAAAGCCTGTCTATCTCCTGCAGAGCGGCTGGTGGTTTTGAACTGCTGACCTTGCGGTTAGCAACCCAGTCATAACCACTGCACCACTCGGACTCCATATATTTTGGGACAGTTGTGCTATATGATTTACATGAGATTTTTGTGGTATTTGGGTCACTGTAGTCTTAGTAAGCTTTTCCTGCCCTCGGTAAGCCACTCCCCCACACGCACGCCTGCCTGGAGGATGGCTCCTCTTGTTTGTGGGGCACACTGGCGGTTCTGTGGTAGAATTCTCGCCTTTCATGCAGGGGACCTGGGCTTGATTTCCAGCTTGCGTGTGGCTGTGAGATTGAACACGTTTCGGCAGAACTTCCAGTCTAAGACAGACTAGGAAGAAAGGCCTGGTGATCTACTGCTGAAGATCAGCTGATGCTGAGAACCTCATGGCTCCCCAGTGCCTGGGGCCCAACTTGCTGGAAGCAAACAGTTGTTTTTGTGGGAACCAAATTCTACCTTCTGTGCTATCACCCCTGCCAACAAGGAGAGTTGGCATGAAAGTGGTACCCAGTCTCCCGCCTCCTCTCCTGCAGTGCTTCTTGGCCCTGGCTCTCCCCCGTGCCCCGGACCCTGAAGAATCGGACAGTGTCCCACCCTGTCTGAGGGCCTGTGTCCTGCTTCTTCAGGCCAGGACACTGCCAGACTGACGCCCAGCCCGAGAAGGATGGGTGTGGACGCCGCTGCCCCACAGATGCCCAGGGGGCTCCTGCCCTCAGACGTTCCCGCAGACCCTCCACGGCCAAGGCATTGGCCACTGGGTTCCCTTCTCTGACTTGACCTCTCTTTCCTTCGGACAGATCTGCTTGCCTGCCACCAGACCCACAACGATGCTCTCCAAACTCGCGCACCTGCAGGCGGCCACCCTCCTTCGCCGGGGAATTCACTCTTCAGTGGCCTCTGGCGTGTCTGTGGCTACTAAGAAAACCGTCCAGGGCCCTCCGTCCTCCGAGTACATTTTTGAACGGGAATCTAAATACGGAGCACACAACTACCACCCGCTGCCGGTGGCCCTGGAGAAAGGCAAAGGTGCGTTTCAAGTGGCTGTTTCTTAGGTTGAACTCTAAATGAAACAACTCGTGCCATGAGCTTCATCTCAGAAGGAGATTGCTGTGAGGTTACGCGGCGAGGGGGAGTGCAGGGTCTGTCAGGAGTTGCTGACTCCCTCCCTGGATCGAGAAGGTGCAGACTAAGGATGCAGTGATGGGGGGGATCGTTAGATGCCAGGACACATGAGGTACCAAAGAGACAAGAACCTTCCTCCGGAGGGGACAGATAAAAAGCCTTCCCCCAGAGCTGGCGCTCTGAGTTCAGCACTTTAGCCTCCTAAATCCTGAGAAATTCGTTTCTGTTGCTAACGCCACCCTCTGGTGGTATTGTTGCTGTAGGAGCCCTAGATGACCAAGAAAATAAGTCAAAGATAACATAGTCTTGCTGTAATTTTCTCTCCCAATTTTGGCATAACTTCAGAGAAAGGTGCAGCTCCAAGCCCCTTGGCCATCAAGTTCATGCTGGCTCACAGTGAACCGGAAGGATCATAGGACTGCCCCGTAGCAAAGGGTTTCCAAGGCTGTCAATCTTTATGGCTGCACCCATGCACGGAAGCGTAAGAACAGCTGTGAGGCCGGCGCAGGACCGGGCAGTGTTTCCTGCAGTTGTACGCGGGGTTACCGTGAGTCAGAGTCCACTCACTGGGACCTAACATCAACAGTAGATCTCTAGGATGCAGACTGCCTCATCGTTCTCCGTAGAATGGCTGGCGGTTTTGAACTGTTGACCTTGCACTTAGCAACCCAATGGGTAACCACCACACCAGGGCTACTGACCTGATTCAGGATCAGTAGCTGCCTTTTATAGCCAAAGAAGCTTTATCATCTATGAGTAATTTTTAGCAAGGATACTTTGAGTATTGCCAAATGGCCCTTTGATCCAGATTTCGAGCCCACGCACAGCCAGGACCACACGGGACCAGCATGCGCTCATATAAACTTTGGGCTCGAAGGTGGAAGTATAAGCCGATTCAACAGCTTTGCCCCCGGCCTCACAAACCCTAAGTTTGTGTGTTGTACACTTGAACACCTTTTGATTCGCAAAAACACCCTGTCCTCCCAGTAGCGCAGTGTGAACTTGAACTTGCGCTTGCACTTGCCTGCGTCCCCTGAGTGCTCACTTGGCCTGGTTCTGAACCTTCATTTCCTTCTCTCTCGACAGCCCACAGCAGCAGCTTTCTGATGAAAGAATGAAGGGGAAGTGTCTAGCACCCTGCCCCCATGCTACAAGTGGGGACCTACTTCCCATCCACTTATGATCCACAGGCCATTTTTCATGGTTGTATCTGTTTTGTGTAGTAACCTCTCTTTAAATCCCAATTTTGGCAGCTGACTGAAGCAAGTCAAGGGTTCTCTTTCTCTGACACGGGCTTATCCCACGTCTGTTCTGAAGCCCAACAGGTAAAATGACATTTTTTAATAAAGCCAAGCACAGCCGGTTTGAACCAAAAAACCTGGAGCCACAGTTGGATGTCCGGGGCGGGACTATGGGCCTTTCAGAGGGCTGGCCAGCAGGTCCCTTTGTTGTTGTTGAGCAGTTTTATGGGGACATAGTCCACATGCCATACAGTTCACAATTCAGTCACATTAGGAAGACTTGTACAGTCATTACCACCATCAACTGTAGAGCATTTTCTTCTTTCTTTTTTTTAAATCGTTTTATTAGGGGCTCATAAAACTCTTATCACAATCCATATATACATCAATTGTGTAAAGCACATTTGTGCATTCATTGCCCTCCTCATTCTCAAAACATTTGCTCTCCACTTAAGCCCCTGGCATCAGATCCTCATTTTTTGCCTCCCTCCCTGCTCCCCGCTCTCTCATGAGCCCTTGATAATTTATAAATTATTATTTTGTCATATCTTGCCCTGTCCGATGTCTCCCTTCACCCACTTTTCTGTTGTCTGTCCCCTGGGAGGAGGGACATATGTAGATACTTGTAATTGGTTCCCTCTTTCCAACCCACTCTCCCTCTATCCTCCCAGTATCGCCACTCACACCACTGGTCCTAAAGGGATCATCCGCCCGGGTTCCCTATGTTTCCAGTTCCTGTCTGTACCAGTGTACATCCTCTGGTCTAGCCAGACTTGCCAGGTAGAATTCGGATCATGATAGTGGGGGCGGGAGCATTTTATTCTTTCATGGACTCCTTGTTATTAGCTCCTCATCCCCCCTCTCTCCCAACCTCCCTGGCATGTTCCCACAGAACCATCAATCCAGGCACTATCTCTATAGATTCACACAGGGCTCAGGCAGGTGTTACATAACCTGACAGCTTTCTGCAAGTCTTGTTTTCCAAATTTCAGGTGTTTATGTCTGGGACGTAGAAGGCAGGAAGTACTTTGACTTCCTGAGTGCCTACAGTGCTGTCAACCAGGGGCATTGTCACCCCAAGATCGTGGATGCCCTGAAAAGCCAGGCCGAGAAACTGACCCTGACCTCCAGGGCATTCTACAACACGGTGCTCGGCGAGTACGAAGAATACGTCACCAAGCTCTTCAACTACCACAAGCTCCTGCCTATGAACACAGGTAAGCGCCTCCCTTGTCTTGGGCCCAAGGCAGCGGCACACCTGCTGACAGCATTGAAAACATCTGTTGAAACTGAGTTTTCTCCTCCCCACCCCCTTTTGCTAGGCGTGGAGGCTGGGGAGACTGCCTGTAAGCTGGCCCGTAGGTGGGGCTACACCGTCAAGGGCATTCCGAAATACAAAGCAAAGATCATCTTCGCAGGTGAGGGGATTCAGGGGCCCGGGTGGCAGGGTGGGTTAAGCGTGGCGCTGGGGACAGAACGGTTGGCAGTTTGAGCCTGCCAGCCGCTCTGCGTGAGAGCGGCACTCTGCGGATGGAATTGGCATGATGGCAGTGGGTGGAGTTTGGTGTGTTCGGTGTTTTTTAGAAAATTGAACGTTAACTGTTGCAATTTCCACCAGTAATGGCATTTACGGTCCTAAGTTGCTGGCGCAGCACCTCTAACATGTCGCCGCATCGGTGGGACCTTACTTGTTGAACTTTCACTAAAAATGAGTGAAGCACCTGCTCATCTTGTGGTTATTTCTGAGTTACCTCTTCACATATGACCGTTTTCTCTCCTAATAGCACACTTCCCCTCCCCCATGGGCTAGTTTCTCCTGGCCCACCTCCCCTTGCTTTCCAGAAGCCTTCTCTGGTTAGATGGCCTAGGTTGCTGGGCTGGGTGATGTTGGGGCAGGGCGGACCATTTCCAGGGGGCTGAGGCTGAGTTTGATTCTAGTATTTGAGGCCCCCTCGGGAGGAGGAGGGCTGGCCGTTTTCTGGGTATAATTTCCGGCACGGTGGCTCAGCGGAGCGCAACAACTTGACAACTGGTTGGGGTGTAGGCATGGATGGGAACAGTGAAACCAAACCTCCGGAGTCTCTGGGGGTGACGTCTGACCTTGGCTTTCAAACCTGGCTCTGACTGTTCGAGACACACAGCACATGGGGGCTGGTCACTGTCACCATCGCTGCCACAGAGCGATGACCCACAGCAACCTGTAGGACAGGCTAGAGCTGTCCCTGTGGTCTTCCGAGACTCACTCTTCACGGAAGTAGGAAGCCTCATGTCTGCCCTGGGTTTGTCACCACGTGGTCACAATGCAGGTTTGTGACCAAGAAAATTCTTCAATAATTTGCCTTGTGAACACGTGCCCTCAAATGATGACCCATAAGCCATGTAAGAGAAGCACCCTCATTGGGGCGGGGGCGGTCACTGGAAGGTTGGTGGCTCGGCCCATCCAGAGGTGCCTTGGAAGAAAGGCCTGGTGATTTACCTGAGAAACCCCGTAGAGCTCAGCTTGCCTCTGACACCCGCTGGCACGCTGCGAGTCAGGTGGGCCCTGTTTCCGTTGCTCACATGCATTTTCTGCACGTGAATTTTTTTTTCCTGCACGTGAAATTTAAACACCTTCTGGAGACTCCCTAGCCTGCGGTGGGGTACGGTTTTAAAAAGGAAGCTATTTGCTGTTAGTTCTCTACGAAGAAGGTTGTCTTTCTTCCTACATCGCTCTTGCTGAGGTACCGGGTCAAGATAAAGCCTCGGTTGTCAGGGTTTGTTCCTGGCTTGGGATGACTGAGAGAAGGGGCCACCACCCAGAGGCTCAGGGCTCAGTGAACACACAGGGGAAGCGGCAGAGATTGGCTTTGCATCTTAGGAACCAGGACACCAGGGCGCTCACGGCTGCTGCGTGTGCCGGGAGGAAATGTAAGAGCAGGCCCTTGCTGCCGAGTTCCCTGCCACACCCCCAGTGTTTTCTGGGACAGAGCTGTTCAGGCAGGTGGGTTGTCTGTAACCTGCGCATCTCTCTTCTCCAGCCGGCAACTTTTGGGGTAGAACGTTGTCTGCCATCTCCAGTTCCACAGACCCGAGCAGCTATGATGGCTTTGGGCCATTCATGCCAGGTTTTGAAATCATTCCCTACAACGACCTGCCAGCTCTGGAGGTATGTCACATCACGTCATGCCATGCACGCCACTCTGCTCGAGGTATTTGCACACTTGCCATTGTGTCCCACTGAGGTGATTGGTGGAGCTGCCCCTGTCCCGGGCTTCCTGGATGGTGAGCTTCGTGGGAGCAGGTGGGGCCGCGGGGCAGGCGGCTTGAACTGAGGCCGCCCTGGTTAGCAGCCTGGGCTTACCCATTGTGCCTCCAGGGCGAGTTGGCTCTGGGAGCTCAAGGTACACGATGGGTTGTAGTGAAACTTCTACCGTCTTTAAGGTTGACCAAGGCCTTGAGTCTGTCATGCCTGATTTGTGTTTACTCCAAAGTCTGATCCTTAACAATCCACCAGCCGCTTGGTGTGTCACCTTCCTGACAGACAGCTGACCTGGATGTTGCCCGTCTCACTGCGGGGCAACCGGGCAACCAGACATGGAAATGACCGTCCCGGGACCCTGGCCAGAGATGGGACGCGTGCGGAGTTGGCAGCTCAGCCAGTGGGAGACGGGGGTCCTCAGACCTCTTTCCCAGCATGACCTGCCGGCGGGGTCGGCATGGAAACTCACCCCGTCTCCCCCTTTGTTCATTCGTCTGTCTTGTAGCGTGCCCTTCAGGACCCCAACGTCGCTGCGTTCATGGTGGAGCCCATCCAGGGGGAAGCAGGGGTGATCATCCCCGAGCAGGGCTACCTCACGGGCGTGCGCCAACTCTGCACCCAGCACCAGGTCCGTCCTCGACGTGCCCCCTCCTCACCGTCTGCTCCTGCCTAGCCGCTGAAGTGCCCTTGACACCCCCCCTTCCCCCAAGTCCTCACAGAGTCCTTCATGACAGCCCCTGCACCACCTCCTTCCCCTGCCTCATTGGGCTCCCCCAGGCTCCTGAAGGCGGGCGGCAGGAGTGTTTTATGTTCCATTGGGCCATCTTTCTCACACGAACTGAATCCCTGCTCTCCCGCCCCCTGTGCCTCGCCCGCTGCGCAGAGCAGCAGGTGACCCCTGAGAGACAACACCCTTCCCGTCATCCAGTGCTATAGAAAGCCTGTGGGTGGCTGATGCAAGTCTCAGAATGGCAGGATGGGTGGGGAGGAAAGAGCAGGGGTGCAGTCTGTGAGCTGCGGAGGATAATGGTGTGTGGTGTCATCTGCCCACAGGTTCTGTTCATTGCTGACGAAATACAGACGGGCCTGGCCCGGACTGGCCGGTGGCTGGCGGTTGACCACGAACACGTGAGGCCAGACATGGTGCTTCTGGGCAAGGCCCTCTCCGGGGGCCTGTACCCTGTAAGTGAGACAAACACCGTCCGTGCCCGCTCCCTCCCGGAAACACCCTCAGATGCTTCTCTGGCACCTCCCGTGTTGTAGGCCAGCTGGATTTCCCTTCCAGTGGGTGACCCAGGTTTTTGGGATGGCAGTGGATTTGGGTGGGAACACCTAACCCCACAGTACTCTCCAGATTTAGCCCCCAGTGGTCAGAAACCCAGTGCTACCAGCCGAGCCTTTAAAGCCATGGCAGAGCAGGCGCACAGGGGAGTGCCGCCTCGTCTGCTGCTGCTGGGCCGGCTGCTCCGAGCTCACTGGCAGTGGGTTGAAGGCCTCCCAGGCACCGTCCTTTCTGGGAAGACTGACAGTTTTACTGAAGGGCGCGCTTAGCATTGCTCTCTGCGCAGTTAGGCAGAGCCTTCCGCCGCAGCCTGGGGAAGAACTGGTGCCTTCATCTCTCAGGCCCGAGGTTCGTTCTCGGTTATCTGTGCCATTGAAGCCTGTGTGCTCACATACGAGGGGCCTTCACAACAGTGGTGGAAAAATTCACCACCTGGACTCTGTTTTCCCACCACTTTTGAAGCCTCCTGTATTTTTGAGGCGTGGGGGCAGTCAGATGGCAGGCGGGCACACAGTGCTTCTGTGGTGACAGGTCTGTTCTGTTCAACATCCGCTTTGTGAGCATCTGTGTGGTGGCTCGGAGCCACGTGGCAGGGCCCGGCTCTGAGCTCTGCCTGGTCTGTCTGTCTGCCAGGTCTCCGCGGTGCTGTGTGATGACGAGGTGATGCTCACCATCAGGCCCGGGGAGCATGGCTCCACCTACGGCGGGAACCCGCTGGGCTGCCGAGTGGCCATCACCGCCCTGGAGGTAACGACCTGTGTGTCCTTAATGCCGGCGTGACCTCTACCCTTGAACCCGTGGGTGCGGTTAGAAAGACACCACCATGAGACACAGAGGAGCTGTTGTCGGGGACGGGGGAGACCAGGGCCTGGTGTTGGGGCTGTCGGGCTAATTCGGACTCATAGTGACCCCGTGATAGATTACAACCAAGGGAACCCAACAGGGTCGCTCTGACCCTCAGGGGAATGCAGCGATTGCCAGTCTTTCTCCTGGGGAGCCACCAGGTGGGCTTTGTCTCCGAGCACCTGCCCAGGTGTGCCGCTGGGTCTCTTTGACCCCGAGCTGTCCTCCAAGGCTCCTCCGAGTTTGAAGTGGGGGGAAGGGGGGCCCGGCAAAAGGCCTACCTTGGTCTCACTGGGCCTCAGCAAGCCTGGCAGTGTCATCCATCCCAGGGGAGGATCTTCAGTGCTTCCGTCCTAGGCTGGGCTCTAGGAAAGAACAATGGGAGGGAATTCTCGTCCTCTTCCATCGTTTCATTCACAGATTTACCCAACTACTGTAGCCATTGCACTGAACACACTGGAGCGCTCTTATTTTGCCCGGACATTGGCTTTATCATGGACTGTGATTAAGTCAGGCTCTGTATGTATGTTTACCCACACATCAAGCTCGTGCAGACACTGAGGAAACTGGTACCCACAGTGGAGCCCTACACAACATTCAGGAGTAGCCATGAGTCTGTGAACCAGCTCGTATGGAGGGACCTGGAGGAAGTTCCGCTGAGGGAAGTGAGAGCCAGGAGGACACACTGTGTGAGACCACTCCTGTCAAAAGTCAGGAGAAGGTTTCCACTTAAGAACCGTATGCCAACAGTTACGAGGGGTGGGGAGGCATCAACAGTAGGAATGAAGGTGACTCCAGGCTGTACTGGGTGATGGTCTTCTGATTCTAGAAACCAACAGAAAAAAGGCTACTCTTAAAGTCTGTGTACTTTCTATTTAAAAACAGGTTTTGGAAGAAGAAAACCTGGTGGAAAATGCTGAGAAAATGGGTGCTCTCTTGAGACGTGAGCTCATGAAGCTGCCTTCTGATATTGTGACGGCTGTCAGAGGGAAAGGGTTATTGAATGCGGTCGTTATCAAAGAGACCAAAGGTACGGAAAGAGACCATTAGCCCGAGGGACTATTTTTATAGCCAGAGCTAAAATAGACTTGGTAGACTTTAATTGGTTGTCAGGTTGCCCTGTTTGAAACTATTGACTGACCTCCTACTGTCCAGCCTTTTTGGCAGAGTCTGATCTGATTTGTAATTGCATGAGTAGTCTGGAAAGTAGAGCTCTTTCCCAAGCAGAGGCACGGGAGATGGTGTGGCTCTGTCCGCTAGCCTTGGGATCAGAAGCTCAAGGTTGAGGCCGATAAGGTGGGGGGTGGAGGGAAGGCATGCCAATTCTGACAGCAGCGCCGCCTCCCCACCCGCTTCTGGCTTGTTAACTTGTCGGACTGGGCCACACGCAGTCACAGATAGTACTTAACAACGAGGGGACTTATTAGAGGTCTTTTGGCGCGATCCTGTCCTTGACCTCTAGGTGTCTTGGCCTTTTTGGGTCTCCTGGGCCAGCCTGGGCTGTGCCCTCCTCAGACAAAGTGCTACACAGCCCTCTGGATGGCCCCCTACTGCACCAGCAAGCACTCTTGCTCTGCGATGCTCCTGCTATCTTTGCTATCACAGCTCGCTCTGCCTCTGCCTCCTGGATTTGGAAGGTTCTCATCACAGGACTCTGACCCAGAGGACATGGGTCTCTTCCGCCTCTTCTTTTTGGTCATAGTGAGGCTCCCCATTTCTGCCTCCAGGCGGCGCATTTTAAGCCTAGCGGATGGCAAAACGGGCCAATCCCCTCATTGGGATTCCATACAATTTATGTGCATTATTAGCAAGCTGCCCAATTGCCTTGGTCATCACAGGCACCTTATTTGCCTAGTCCCACCCAATCCTTTTGTGAGGTCAGAAGACCACACACCAGGTTGGTCATGTCCCACGGGGCCGTTGAGCTCTTAGGATCAGATTTGGTCCTTCTGAGTTGTTGCGGCCCTGCCTTATTCGGGTTGTGGTGCTTGGAGAGTGGGGTCCTTCCTGCGGGTCTGGATGGAGGGCTGTGAAGGGCTGGCTCTGCACAGCAGCCAGGGTGCAGGGGCAGGAACAGCGGTCCAATGAGTCCCAGCCTTTAGTGCGGCTGTGCCCTTTAAGGACGAGTCCTTCCTGGGTGTCCCTGCAGAGTGGTGGCTTTAACCTTGGCTGCACTTTGGAATCCCCAGGGGAGCTTTGGAAGCATGAATCGGCTTGTCCCCAGAGGCTCTGAGTTACTGGGTCTGGGTGAGGCACTGGCATTGGCCAGCCCAGCAGCTCTTGGGGGAGGGGCTGTGTGTGTGTGGGGCAGCCAGGGTTGAGAACCCTGAACCCGTAGCTGCTCAAGCTCAGGCAGCAGTCACCTGTAGGTACACGTCGGGGCCATCTTGGGCTGAGGAGGGCTCTCTCTGGCCGTCATTAGTGCCTGCATCACCCCCAAGCCCTTTTTGCATCGTGGTGTGATGAATTCGGCATCCATGAACAACGCCGCTCCGCACCGAGACCTGGGGAACCAGGCCATTCAAACACCGGTGAGGCGCTTGCTGAAGCTCTGGGGCTGACTTCACTCTGTGTGGGACGCTGGTTCCCGGGGCAGAGAACGAGGCGCCCTTGTGCCCGCTGCGCGCTGGCCCTGCACCCTGGTCGCCGGGGCATGTTTGGACGGCCTCCTCCAGCCACAGGTTCACGTCTGACCTCCTCTGCCTAGATTACGACGCCTGGCAGGTCTGCCTCCGACTTCGAGACAACGGGCTCCTGGCCAAGCCGACCCACGGCGACATCATCCGACTCGCGCCACCGCTGGTGATCAAGGAGGACGAGATCCAGGAGTCTGTGGAGATCATTCACAAGACCATCCTGTCTTTCTGAGGCGGTCCCCGCCACCGGGGCCGCTGGGAGCCAGCCGAGGGTCTGCTGTGCACCTGTCCTTCCACTCCCACTGTCCCGGGGGACTGCTTTCCTTGCTGTGTGTAGCTCTCAGAGCGGGTGGATCTCGGCCTGCACTGGGCTGTGTAGCGGAACCAGGACCTACTGGCACCTGCATCCAGTTCAGTGTCTTCTCCCCTGTGTGTGCTTCCTGAAAGGAAAGGTAGCCACCAGCCTTCTCTAATCAATCCCTTTACGGATAATTTCTGTGTGATTGCTAGAACTCCTTTGCTGGGATGAGTGTCTTGTGTTTGGAAACGGCTTCAGAGCTGAGGCAGGGTGAGTGGTTAAGGTTAAGGTGACCAGATTTTAACTTGGTAAAGCGGGACACCATTGATAAAACTCATATCTTGGTGAAATAGCCACATGGCAGTCGAAAACTGTATACCCTAGCTTGTCGTGCATTCTTTCCAAAAATTGTGACTTTTTAAAAACTCCGCAGGATGCGGGAAAAATTATTAAAAATCGGGACTGTCCCGCCAAAAGCGGGATGGACGTCTGGTCACCTTAGTTAAGGTACACTTAAGAGGGTGGGTGTCGGTGCATGTAGGTACCAGGGTGCTGTTTGTGGTTGTTAGTATTTGGAATCAAAATGTTTAATATTTCCAAATTAAGTGTTTGATTAATTTGCTCAAAACAATAAATGTATTTCCAAAGTGTCTTTACCTTTAACATAAAACTTCTATCGAAAATGCCTATCTTGTGATCCGGATGTTGTTACTGCATGACCTTCACAGCCCTGACAGCTCAGTGGGTTCCGGGTGAGCTTCCAACTGCCAAGTCACCAGCCCCTCCAAGGACAAAGACGGACAACCCTGGGGACCCCCAGGGGCAGCACTGCTCTGTCCTATAGGTTCACTGTGCGTTGGCACAGACTTGGTGGCTGTGGAAATAGAACTTCTGAAGCTCACTGGGAAATCTCAGGACTTTGTTTTATTTCGGATGTCTTTTTTCCCCAAACCATTTTATTGGGAGTTAACTCAGATATCATCCTGTAGTTGAGTCACATCAAGCAGTATTGTACAATTGCTACCATGGTTTCTTCATCTGTTTTTTTTAAGAGTGTGTTAGTCTGGGTAGACTAGAGAAACAAATCCACAGAAACTCATATGTATATAAGAGAGAGTTTTATATATAAAGGGTAATTGTACATTAAACATCCCAACCCAGTCCAGTCCAAGCCCATAAGGCCAACATTAGCCCAAATGTCTGACACCGATCTACAAAGTCCTCCTCAGCCTCACAAAACATATGCAAGGACAGCCGACTGCAGGAGGAAAGCCGAATGAGTAAGCGTGTAAGTATCTCAGCGCTGGCAGGGGTCTCCACACGGCTACTCCAGCACCCAGGGCTGCATTGGGGTAGGTCTATGCGGCTTCTCAGGGATGTCTCCCCGGAAGCTGAAATGTCTTGCTAACTGAGGCAGAGAACTAGTAAGGCAGTCACACTGGTCCGACCATCAAGAGACCAAAAAGGCGAGGATCGCCATTTATTTCTCCACCCTTCAATTAATCCCACATTGTTTATTAGCCAGGTTGGCACAATAAACATTAACACAAGGAGTATTTTTATTTTGTAACTTGTAGACAAAACAAACCCACTACACGAGTTAATTTTGACTCCATCCCTATATAGGGTTAGCATAGTGGGTTACACTCAGGCTGCTAACCGCAAGGTCAGCAGTTTGAATCCACCAGCCACTCCACAGGAGGAAGATAAGGCTTTCTTTTACAGGGGCAGTTCTCTGCCCCATAGGGTTGCTGGGAGTTGCAATGGGTTTTTGGTTGGGGCCAGAACTTCTTTACAGACGAATAGAACTATGAAAGGAAAATGAAGCTAGAGAAGGAACCTTACAGTCCACCCCCGTCCATCCCTGCCTTGTCTTTGAACACAACCTTAATCTCATGAGCCTGCTGGTCTGCTGCTCTTCTCTGCTTGAGCCAGCCTCATTCTCAGATGCCTCTCCATCCCAGAGGGGGCCGGGCCCCTTTGCCACCTGGTTCTGGGAACGCAATCTGGACGGAACTTTTGATAATCGCTTTTGAAAAAATCTAACATTACATCGTCAGTAACAGTTGCCAATACAGCCTCAACATCTTACCACGGAGTCTCCCACTGCCCCCAGGTTGGGAGAGGGACTGTCTGCCCCAGCAGTGTGGGAGTTGGGACTTGGGGACCCTGAGTGGTTTTCTGCCCCTGGGAGAGCCGATCAGCCCCAGTGGGTGGGTGTGTAGGGAGCGAGGAGTGCAGGCAGGCGGTCCCTAACAGGCTGGAGATGGGCTTGCGTTTAGAGATGATTGCCCCCACCCTCTCCACAAGGTCTTCCTCATACCTTGCCTGGAATCAATCGGAGACAAGTCTTCAGCTGTTCCTGCTGCAAAGTCGGCCCAACCATGACCTTGGTTCTGCACCTGGCGAGTCTTCTTGCCCTGGGAACTGTTCTCTTCAGGAATGCTGGTTCCCAACATCCTCCCTGCTGCCCAGGCCTCTGAGGGAGACAGCCCAGCTGGAGTCTGCTGGGGCTTCAGTTCCCTGGTCTTCAATGTAGCCTGCCATAGGAGCCCTGGGGTGGGTGGACACTGCCTGCTAGCCGAGGCCTGGGCATCTGGGTAGGGTTGACAGCCGGTGCAGAGGGGGGTGAAGCCAGAGTGGAGCCCCGTTCACCCACCACCATCAGAGGTGTGTTTGGGAAACGGCATCCGTGGCAGTCGTGATTTGCCGAATGATCTCTCCTAGCTGACAGTGGGAACTGCGATAGCCAATAGGAACTGCTCCCCTTGCAAGCATAGCCCAGGGTGCCTGACCTGCTGCACCCCGCATCCCCCTCTGACCACCCATGGGCCCGAATGAATGGGGCTTTTGATTCCCTGCATTTATTTGGAAACTTTGAATGCCAGCTATATGCCAGCCACTTGGCTAGCCCCAAAAGAGAGGCAGTGGCTCAAAGGAGACATTAGGCACCTCTGAGTCACCTGACTCCATCGCACAGCAGAGGCAGCACTGCCTGTCCGGCGCCGTCCTCACAATCGCTGCTTGAGCCCATTGTTACAGCTCCCGTGTTCATCTGGCTGAGGCTCTTCCTCCTTGTCACTGACCCTCTCCCAAGCACGAAGTGCTTTACCAGGGGCTGGTCCTGACCGGTGTATTTATTCAGCATTTATGTATTCAACAGATGTGCCGGCCACTGTTCTCAATGCGTTCAGTGTCCAGGACTATGATAAGATCCCATTTTACAGATAAGAAGATCCCAGCCTGTGGAGGCAAAGTAGCTTGCTTAAGGTGATAGCAGCAGTAAGTAGCAGAGGCCAGAAGACGTTGGGGGCAGTCCTATGTGCCGGGGCTGAGGCTTCTGTCTTGCAGGCTGGCTGGGAGGCAGGCGGGGGCCTGCACAAGCATTTCCATTTATTTCTAACAGGGCACGGACGCTTAATAATACCAGCAGGAGCCATTCCAATGAATAAAATATGCCGAGTGGCTCAGCCTGTTTAGGAAGCAGGATTTAAAACACATTTCAGGAGTTACTGTAAAGCATGCCTAATGACTTCGAGGAGTTTTATTAACTCCAAAGCCTTTATTTTGGTTAACTTGCAAATGAGATCCCCCCCCACCCCCAACCCTTTTTGGTGTTCCTTAGCCCAGTCCCTCAAATCATTAATGAGATGGCTGAGCAAATAATGGCTTTTATTGTGTGCATCACAATAGTTCACCGAAAAGCAGATGCAAGCTAAAGATACCACAGAGGTGGAGGGCAGAACCTGGCTCAAAGCAATGAATGGCTCAGTGAGCTTATTGAGAAGTCAGGCTGTCAGGTGTGGGGCTGTGGAAGACCTGGGTGTCTACTGAGCCTGGTGGTCCACCCCAGCCAACTGGGTGGGCCCCTCTCCCTAATGTGGGGGTAAAGCTGCCCTGGACTCTGATCTCTCTTGCTTTACACCATCAAGTAATTTTAAACCTCACATCAACAGTGGAAGCTGCAGACCCCATTGGTGCAGCTTGGGAACTGGCGAGGGTTAGGGTCAGCACTGCCAATCAGTCTGTGTTGGATCAGAACTTGGGAGGCCCAGAGAGGGAGGCTCACACAACCAGCCTTCCAGACTGGGACAATCCCAATTTAATGGTGGGTCAGTTGCTGGCTCTGGCGGGCACAGAGACCAGCCTCTGTCCCCAAGGGTGTGTAAACTACACCCCTGCTGAACCAAGTTCTGGAGGGGTCCAGGCAAACAGCTGGACTACACCTTGAGACCCCAGATACGGCACCCGAGAATCCGCAGCCTTCGGGTGGTGCGGGGCCCTGCCGACAAAACCCAGCTCAGGCTCGGTTGGGTTGGGCCGGAGCGGCTCGCAGGCGCGGGGTCCGAGCAGGGGCGGCAGAGGGCACTGTTGGCTAAGCTTTGCCCGCGGATCCCCGCCGAAGGCGGCGCGTGCGCTCTGGGTGGCTACTGAGGCTGGA